CCCCCAGCATGGGGAGATCCCACCCACCCCCTCCAGCCCCCTTTCCAGAATTCTACCACTTTCTGTCTCACATTGGCCATGCCTGCTGGTAACGTAGTCAGTTTCTTGACCTGGTGCTGGTGACATGGGAGTGCTGACTTTGTGAAAATGCATTGAGCTGGACACTTGTGACTTGTGAACTTTTCTATATTAATATCATGTCTCAATAAGAGGATTTTTTTTCCCCTTACTTAGCCCCACTTGTCCACACAGCCATGCCACTGCAAATTCTCTCCTTCTCCCTTTTCATGGCTTCCTGGCAATCTTATACTCATCCTTTCAATCTGCTCAAATGCCACTTTTGCTGACCCCCTCAGCTCTCCAACCTGAGAACAAAACCAGTGCTACCTTTTCTGAGCTTATTTATATATCTACGCTCTTCACCAGAAAGCATAGTTGCTTGCAGGAGAGGACTGTCTTGTTTATCATCTTCACATCCCAAGTTTTAGCATATGCCTAGCCTTCAAGAAACACTCAAGAATTGTCTGCTAAAAAAAAAATTCGTTTCTCAATCCCCTCCCCTCCCTTTTTTTTTTGAGTCAGGTCTCACTCTGTCACCCAGGCTGGAGTGCAGTGGCACAATCACAGCTTACCACAGCCTCAACCTTCTAGGTTCGAGCGATCCTCCCACTTCAGCCTCCCAAGTAGCTGGGACTACAGATACACACTACCACATCCAGCTTATTTTTTATTTCATTTTATTTATTTATTTATTTTTTGAGTTGGAGGCTCACTCTGTTGCCCAAGCTGGAGTGCAGTGGCATGCTCATGGCTACTGCAGCCTCGACCTGCTGGGCTCAAGGTGATCCTCTGCCTCAGCCTTCCAAGTAGCTGGAACTACAGGCACACACCACCACACCCGGCTAATTTTTTGGTTTATTGTCGAGATGAGGTCTCACCAAGTTGCCCAGGCTGGTTTTAGACTTATGAGCTCAGGCAATCCTCTCATCTCAGCCTCCCAAAGTGCTGGGATTATAGGCGTGAGACACCGCAGCTGACCTGTTTTTTATTTTTGTAGAGGCAAGGTCTCACTATGTTGACCAGGCTGGTCTTAAGCAATTTTCACACCTCGGCCTCCCAAAGTGCTGGGATTACAGGCGTGAACGACCATGCCTGGCCCTCAAGCTCCCGTTCTACCCCTCTTCTTAACAGGTGACATGAGCTCTTGTCCCACACAGGAATTAAAGAATGTTATGAAGTACAACTTCCTCAGCTTCCTGACCCTACCTGATTCTATCTGATCCCATTCCCTCCTTGGGACTCAGGATGAAATGTCCCCTTCCCTCTTATCCAAACATAACCCCTCATCCATGCTCTGGATGACCGTTTCTCACGCAACTCCCATGGGTCCTTTTCATCATCCTCTCTCTCAACCACCTTCAACTTTTTCCCTTCGGCCTTTTAATTCAATCAAGTCACTCCCATCTTTAAAAGTGTTTTCATTGCACACAACATCCCCCCTTCGAGGCTTTCTCTTTCCTTTCCTAAGTAAGCATTTTAGGGACATTTACCCTTTTTTGTGTTATGAACCACTCTGGTGGTCCAGTGAAGCCCAGACTCCTTCATGGAGTGTTTTTAAATGCATGGAACTCAAAATGCACGGAATAACAAAAGAAAGAAATTGAAAAATACTTATCAAATGTTAGAAAAACAATTTGTGATATATTTACTTCTTTACCAGTATATAAGAAAAACAACTTGTAATATATGTACTTCTTTACTTGTGTATTAACAAAACATAATCAAGCCAAAGGCTCAATAATGAACAAAGTTCCCAAGTAGGGATGAGTATTTCAAGATACCTTAGGGAAATACCAGTGATTTCCACAGAAGGCAAATCACAGGCATCGCTGGTGCTACTTGGTTGCTGCCTATGTTCATAACTGAAGAAATGCAAAATTTCAGTTAGAAGTTAATGAACATAAAGGCATAACTTTTTTCCATCCAAGTTCATGAACCCCTTAATTTCTATTCAAGGGTCCCCAAAGCCTCTACTCTAAACTTTAGAATTACCCCTGCTTCCTTTCTCTAAGTAGACCCCTCCCCCTGGCTTTATATGCTGATTGCTACATACTGATGACAAGCAAATGTATATATGCATGTCCAGACTTTGTCCTAACTCCAGACTCTTAGAGTCAAATGCCTACTTACTGTCTCTACCTGGTACCATTGTCAACACAATAGGTACAAAATGCAACTCCCGGGTACCCTTCCAAACTTGGTCTTCTCTGTCTTAACAATCTCAATAGAAGCCACCACCATAACCCCGTTGCTCAAGTTCAAGATCTAGGCATCAGATGATTCCTCCCTTCTGTCACCCAATCCATCAGCAAATCCTGTCAGTCCACTGCTAAGCCTCCAGCTTCTTATCCCATTTCTAAGACCACCACACTAGTCTAAGCCACCTATCTTTCAACCTTGAAAGATCCTTGCCTTGAGGAAACCTCTGGACACTTGAGTTACTCCACAGCATCCAACAGCAACAACTAAACCAACCCCAGAATTCCACAGATGTCATATGTCAACCCAGCAAATGGTGAAATATTCTAAACTAGAGGACTACAGACTGTCACTGTAGGGCTTTGTAGAGCAGTCCAGGACAGGCAGGTCAGAAAACTGCAACAGTGCTTAATTCTACAACAGTAAAGACCCAGACTCTCTGTTCTCAAGAAGAAAACCCAGAATGTGCTTCTACTACCAACTGAGCCATGGCAACACAGATTTTCCAGGCACTAAACTGTTTCCAGCTGCCTGCTAGAGCTTTCCACCATGTCCCGTACACTTGGAATTCAGGTATCAGACTGAACTCTTCATCCTTTTCCTCGGTCCTAAAACACCTGTTCTGGGGAAGGGAATGCTCTCCCCCTGCTGCATTCCCTTCTCCCAGAACGCGAATGCACACCATCCACCAACAGCCAAGGTAGGAAGTCACCCTTCCCTCATCCTAAGTCCAGTGGGTCACAGTGTCTCCTAAACTCCTTGGGAATGTGTCCTCTCTCTCCCCTTTACAGGCACTGCCTCTGCCTTGACCCAGTCCTGACTAATTGACAAAGTATCTGTCCCAGGCCCTCGGGGTTGGCTCCTCCCCTGGAAAGCCCACCCCAAGCCTGGGCCGAGGACCTTGGGGCTTCTCCCTCCGGGCTTGCACCTCACGTGTCTGCCAGAGTGGGCCTAGTCCTCGGACTACCCACCCCATACCTTGGCTGGGTTGGTCAACACCTCCTTCATGTACTCGGCCACGGTGATGGGGCCAGTGGACTTGATTTTGTACATAAGATGCCGCAGCATCGGCGTCACCGGGTTGCTTTCTGCCGGTTCGTTCCCGGAGCTGAAGGATCTCCCTCTCCAAACAGAGGGAATGACTGCGAAAGACAAATTGCACAGGCCCCATCAGAAGTTGTAATAGGTGCCGGGCTCAGTGGCTCAAGCCTGTCATCCTGGCACTTTGGGAGGCGAGAGGACTGCCAGAGCCCAGGGGTTCCAGACCAGCCTGGGCAATTTGGTGAAACCTCGTCTCTACAATAAATCAAAAAATAAGCGGGCGTGGTGGCGCACGCCTGTAGGTCCAGGCACTTGGAAGGTTGAGGCGGAAGGATCGCCTGAGCCCCGCAGGTCGAGGCTGAGGTGGCCGTGAGCGTGGCACTGCACTCCAGCTGGATAACAGAGTGAGACTCCAACTCAAAAAAAAAAAATCGTAATAGGTACACGTGCAAGCCAACCGAGCGCTCTCAAAGCAGCCTCGTTAACTCAGAGCCAGGCGGGACCGCGGCCTAACGAGCGCAGCAGGTCCGCAGGGTGCAGGGCAAGCACTCCCACGGCCACGGCCACGGCCACGGCGTGTCTGTAGCCGGACTCGGGGCTCCAGCACAGCGCACCTCCAGGGTGGACGTGAGCCCCCAGAGTCCCCCAACTGAGCAAAGCACCCTACGGGGCTTCCATGGCCACCGGGGCTCGGCGGGACGACGCTCACCCGCGCGCGCCGCGGAGTACAGCGGCCTCAGGCCAACCCTCGCCAGAACACTCACGCCCATCTTCGCAGGCGGACGCGCACCGCCCGGGGCTGGGGGCTACGCCGTTTCCGGGAGAAGTCCCGGCCCCCGGAAGTACGTCACGGCCCAAGCGGAAGCAAGCCACGGAGCCCGCGCGTGTGCTCTGCCAGCCATGGCGGCCGCTAAGAAGCCATTAGAGTTCCACGCCAAGAGACCCTGGGCCCCCAGGGAGGCGGTAGAAGATCCGGACGAGGAGGACGAGGATGATACCCGTGAAGCCGAGAATGGCTTCTCCCTGGAGGAAGTATTACGGCTTGGAGGCACCAAGGTAACGGCCACGGGCTCCCGGGGAAGGGAGCAGAGGCGCGGGGAGCCTGGAGGGCGTCCGGGACCCAGAGCCCAGCCTCGGAATGTGTTCGGTGCGCTTCCCGTGCGTCTTTCTACCGCTCTTTACAAAAGAAAATTTTGGAGTTTAGCGATTTGATTTATGCTGTGGTCTTTCTTAGGGTGTAGGCGATCTCTTATTTTATGGACGTGGTGTAACCATTACTCCATCAGGTCGGAGGGTGACTCTTCTCGGGCCCGACCTCGTGGCATCAGTGCTTTAAACGCCAGTGGTGTTGGAATTTTTCATCTGTGTTCTCGCAGGATACTGGCATGTATTCACTGTACCCTCTTTAAGGGAGGGAAACTAAATTTTTAACTGCGGTAGTACAGCAGACGCTGAGTACAGCTATGGAAAAAGTAAACAAGGAAGGACAATAAGGAGTGGGAGAGGGTGTTACAATTTTAAATTAGGTGATCGAAGAGCGCACCACTGAGATGTTTGAACAAAAACCCAAGAAGAGAAAGGAGTGAGCTGTGTGTCGTTCCAGTCCAGTGGAACTGCAAACGCAATGTCAGGCTGAAGTGAGCCTCACCTAGTCCATGAAGTACTATTTTGCTTGGAGACCAGACCTTGAAGGGATGGAGAGTTGGTTATAGATAGGAGGATTGCACCCTGTAGGGGCAGATTCGCAATTTGCTCTGTGCTTGAGTTATATTTAATTTATACACATGATGCAAACTATAAAGGCACCTAGTGAAAACCCTTCTTTCCCACTTTTAACTCAGCCATGCAGTTTCCCTGATAGGAAGCATTTATTTTTACAAGTGTATTTTATGTTTTCCAGCGATGTTATATACCTTTCCAAGCAAATACATACTATGTGTTCTTTTTTTATGAGTGGTACCATATATACACCTATCTCTATATTTTGCATTTTTTTCTTTTCTGTATCAGTACATAAAGTCCTGTGTCACTGATTTTATGGGTACATAAATCATTGTGTCTATTAACTAACCAGCCATTTATTGTGGATATTTAAGTTGTTGCCTGTCATTTTCTATTTTAAATAATACTATAGTAAGTAGCCTTAAACTTGGATTTTACCCCACATTTGTTGTGTATTTGTAATCTAAATGTGTAGAAATGAAACTGCTGGATCAAAGGATAAGTGCCTTGTATTTGGCAAATTGCCATCTGTGGACGTTCTGCCAGTTTACAGTCATAGCAGCTATAATGAGAGTGCCTCTTCCCCCACGTCCTCAGCACCACCTGTCATAATTTTACCTTTGTTCATGTGATAGATTAAAATATGGATGTATTGTTGTGTTTTTAATGTGGATTTCTCTACTTAGTGAGGTTGAGCATCGTTTCATATTTTTAAAGAACTCTTTTTTACCTATGAACTGTTTATATCCTTTGCACATTTATCTAATAGGTATCACTTTCTTGCTGATGTGTAGTGACTTTCATCTTAAGGTATTAAACCCAGTTACTTTTGTATGAGTTGTTTATATTTTTTTCCAATTTGTCTTTTTTTCTATATCAAAAGAAAGTATGAGACAGAATGATAAATTTACTCATCTTTCCCTTTTTGGGTCTGAGTTTTATGGCAAATTTTAGGATTTTCCCAGTTCTGAAGTCACTTTTTAAAACCGTGTTATGCTTTCCTATTATTTTATGTTTTTATTTTTCACATTCAAATCTTTGATCTATCAAGTACTTATTTTTGGGAGAAGGTGGGAGCCCAGAAAATTCCATAGTAACTCAATTTCAGTGATTTTTTTTTTTTTGAGTCAGATTCTCACTCTGTCGCACAGGATGGAGTGCAGTGGTATGCTCGCGGCCACCATAGCCTCAACCTGCTGAGCTCAGGCAATCCTTCCCTCTCAGCCTTCCAAGTAGCTGGAACTACAGGTGCATGCCACCATCCTGGCTGTTTTTTTATTATTTATTTTAGAGACAAGGTCTCACCAAGTTGCCCAGGCTGGTCTCGAACCCCTGGACTCAGGCAATCCTCTCGCCTCGGTCTCCCAAAGTGCTGGGATTACAGGCTTGAGCCACTGCACCCAGCTAGTGATTTCAAAGATACAGATCTCAAGTTAACTTTTGCAGTTTTAACTAAACTTGGATTTGTAATTTTTTAAAAACTTTTGTTTCTGTGCAGCAAGATTACCTTATGCTGACTACTTTGGATGAGAATGAAGAAGTGGTAGATGGAGGCAAAAAAGGAGCAATTGATGACCTGGAACAAGGTGAACTGAAAGCATTTATTCACAGTCTTAATCTGGCCAAGTATGCAAAAACATTCTTAACTGAAGATGATGAACCAGCTAAAAAAGAAAAGTCCAGCAAAAAAGAAGCCAAAGCATCTAAAGTAGATAATAAAAAGCAAAATGCTGAAGAAAGTCAAAGAACATCAGTCAATAAGGTAAAAAATAATAATAGGCCAGAACCATGTTCTGAGAAGAATAACAATACTATACCAAAAGTAAAGAAAGAGAAACAGGACATCTTTGAATTTTTCGAGAGACAGACTTTATTACTCAAGCCTGGAGGCAAATGGTATGATATAGAGTACAGCAGTGAGTATTCTTTGGAACCCCAGCCTCAGGATGTTGTGTCTAAGTACAAAACCCTGGCTCAGAAGTTGTATGAGCATGAAATCAGCTTATTCAAAAGTAAGACAAATAATCAAAGGGGAGGAGCCTCTTCTACCTGGATGAAGGCAATTGTGTCATCAGGGACCCTGGGTGACAGGATGGCAGCCATGATTCTTCTTATTCAGGATGATGCTGTTCACACACTGGAGTTCGTAGAAACCCTTGTGAACCTTGTTAAAAAGAAGGGCAGCAAACAGCAGTGCCTGGTGGCTTTGGATACTTTCAAAGAGTTGCTCATCACAGACCTTTTGCCAGACAGTCGGAAGCTCCGGATTTTCAGCCTGCATCCTTTCAACAAACTGGAACAGCTGTCCAGTGGCAACAAGGACTCGAGAGACCGCAGACTGATATTATGGTATTTTGAACACCAGCTGAAACACTTAGTGGCTGAATTTGTGCAGGTCTTAGAAACTTTAAGTCACGATACATTAGTAACCACTAAGACCAGAGCCCTTACTGTGGCCCATGAGCTTCTTTGTAACAAGCCTGAAGAAGAAAAGGCTCTTCTTGTGCAAGTGGTAAATAAACTGGGAGATCCTCAAAACAGGATAGCTGCAAAAGCCTCCCATCTGCTGGAGACATTGCTTTCTAAACATCCCAATATGAAAGGGGTTGTGTGTGGCGAGGTAGAAAGACTCCTCTTTCGCTCAAATATCAGCTCCAAAGCCCAATATTACGCAATTTGCTTTTTAAATCAAATGGCCCTCTCCCATGAAGAAAGTGAACTGGCAAACAAATTAATAACTCTTTATTTTTGCTTTTTTCGGACTTGTATCAAGAAAAAAGATATTGAGTCAAAAATGCTTAGTGCCCTGTTAACAGGTGTGAACAGGGCATACCCGTACTCCCAGACTGGTGATGAGAAAGTGAAGGAGCAGGTTGACACTCTTTTTAAAGTGTTGCATATTGTGAATTTTAATACCAGTGTGCAGGCTTTGATGTTGCTTTTCCAAGTAATGAATTCTCAGCAGACAATCTCAGATCGATATTATACAGCATTATACAGGTAAGTACATACCATTCCAATATATGAATGAAATGATTTAACATAGTATAGTGTCACATAAGCAGTACGCCTCTATGGGTCAAGAGGAGACATTAGAAAACTAGATTTTAGCCTCCTCTTAGCAAAGTATTGCTAACTTTGAGTAAGCCATTTAATCTTTGTTTCCCTGATGGGCACAAATTTATACCAGATGCTTTGAATACATCATTTTATTTTGAGAAGTTGTTAAAATACTCCCCAAAAAGTATTCATATCTACCACCTAATATTTCAAAATTAACATTTTGCTATATATGATTTAAATTCTGGGATATGTTACAGAAACAGAAGTGCAGGTATAATTGAGGTTTCCCTCTCCCTTTTGTACTGGATCCTATAGTCTCTCTCCTGTCTTTCACGCAACCACTCAGTAATAAATGCAAGTATATTTTGAGTGCCTTCATGTGCTAGGGGCTTAGTGTATGGCACAGTGAACTCACATCCTGCCCCTAGAGGTGGGGAGGGGTGTTAAACAAATATGTTAGATAGGGAGTGTTGGGGGTTGTGGTTTTTTATTTTTTATTTATTTAGAATCAGGGTCTCACTCTCACCCAGGCTGGAATGCAGTGACACAGTCACAACTCACTGCAGCCTCGACCTCCTGCACCTGGCCCTGGATTTTTTTTTAATTTTTTTGTTTTTAACATTGAGATTAAGATTTTGTTTGCTGAAATTTGTGGTTGTCCTGCAACCCACCCATTGAGGCATGATTTTTTTCCCCTTCTTTTCTCCAATTTATTTCTATTTATTTTTATTTTAAAATTGTAGGGTACAATTCAGGGTTAGGTATATAACTGGTCACTGGGTAGGTAAAGATTGGACCTCACTTTGGTCCCCACTTCACCTGGTTTGAGATCAGGTACCCTTATTGATGAAGTGTGCCCCTCTCCCTCGCCTGGCAGTTTTTCACTATTGCCAATCCCTTTCTTACAGTATTATGATAATTGTTCAGGGTCCGCTTGTGAGTGAGAACATGTGGTACCAGTTCTTTATTACTGTGATAGATCACTCAGTATTATAGACTCTAAGTCTATCTAAGTTGCTGTGAAATTCATTATTTAGTCCTTTATGGCTGCATAATATTCCATCATGTATATGTACCACTTTTTTTTCTATCCAGTCCTCTCTCGATGAGCCAGCATAGTTGGTTCCATGTTTTTGCTATTGTGAGTAATGCTTTTCATAGAGCGATTTGTGTTCCTCTGGGTATATTCCCAGAAGGAGGACCGTGTGGTCATATGGGAGGTCGATTTTTAGATCTTTTAGGAATCAAAACACTGTTTTCTACAGAGGTTGTACTAGTTTACACTCTCCCCAACAATGTAGAAGTGTTCCCTTTTTCTCACATCCTCTCCAGCATCTGTTGTGTTTTAGTTATTAATGATGGCCATCCAGACTGGTGATATCTCAGTGTGATTTTAATTTGCATTTCTCTGATGATTAGTGAGGCTGAGCCTGTTTTCATGTATCTGTTGCCTTCTCTTCTTTTGAGAATTGTCTCTTCATATCTTTTGCCCGCTTTATAATGGGGCTGTTTGTTTTTTTCTTTTTAGCATGTTTGAGTTCCTTTTAGATCCTGGATGTTAGTCCTTTGTCAGATATATGGTTGGCAAATATTTTTTTCCCATGAGGCATGATATTTTGAACAATGTGTAAACAGTTTGGAACTGTTCAAATATACCAACAGCCTGTTCAAATATACCAACAACCTGTTCAAATATACCAACAACCTGTGCTTAATGTATTCTAATTCATTTTTGTCATGTTACATACATATAAAATATGAGAAAATGTAGAGTTAGTGGTTAATGCCTTATACATAAACCACACGGCCTGGGTTTGAGCCCCAGCCATGAGTTTGCTGTGTAACTTTGGTCAAATTACTTAATCCTCCTTAAAACCCTATTGGTGATTGATCCCATTTTATCATGCCCAAGTTGATTTGTCTGTAAAGTGGAAAGAAAATCACCTACTCTTGGTTATTGCTAGACTCTGATGTGGCCATGTGCTCTTTGAGCTATGGCTGTTGCCATGCTTCCTCACTTTGGCTCCCTCCCTGGGAAAACTGGGTATGCAGAGCAATATGAAAACGTTTTAGAAGCTTACATACTTTCTAATATTAGTAGAAGAAAGGTCATGGAAGTGTTTAGAACAAAGGGAGCAATGACTTCACGTGCTATCATAGTTAATAGGGAGATGGTGTTAATTCTGGGTATGCCAATGTCTGGAGGCCTAGAGCAGTCAGGACAACTGTAGGATTCAACCACTAGGATAGACAGTTGGTTTTTTTTGTTTTTGTTTTTGTTTTGAGTTGGAGTCTCACTCTGTCACCCAGACTGGAGTGCAGTGG